AGGACGTCAGGTACTCAAACCCCCTTTTTTTTTTTTTTTTTGAAGCAAACGGCCCCCCCCGTTTCCAGCTTTTTTTCCCCCCCGCCGTTGCGTTACCGCTAAAACTTTCAGCCCTCACAGCCACCCCCCTCTCTGCCGGCAGCGCTGCTGCCGACTTAAACGAACGTTACTGAAAGGCCTGTCTGCGTTTTCGGAAGGCAGCTGGTTTCCCTTCGGCATCACGAGGGCTCGATGGAGAAGTTTCTTTGCCTTTTTTTGTTTTTTTTTAAACACAAGTTACGAGAAGCGAAAGGATAATGTGCGCACCCACTCCGCAAAACCTCCTCCTGCTTTGGGTGAAGAAGTTTATCGAGGCCCAGACCTGGAGATCGGTCCTTGACAGAGAACGTGGAACTGAAATACAGATTTGTTCGTAGCGGACGTGACTCTTCAGCCTAGCAAAAACTAAACAAAGCCACGAAAAATCTTGTGGCCTGGCAACAACAACAAAAAAACCCCAAACCCACAGAGCTTTTTATCCCTCCTAGTGTAACGACAGTGGAGACAAGACCCCTTATTGATCTTTCATTCGTCGAACTAATCAAACCCTCACTTCTCACTGCCAGACGCAGTTTAGCGAGGCGGTGATACTTCTGCAAATAGACACAAACGGGTGCAGCAACACCACAACTGGATACGGCGCTTTAAATACTGCGAAAGGCCAGCGCTGACTCCGCTAGACAACCGCGAGGACTCACAGCAGATCAAAGGGGTTTAACCGCCCCGGTTCTGCCGCCACGTCCCGTCGCCGCAGTGCCCGAGCACTCTCCGGTGGCAAAACGAACACGGGACCACCCCCCGCGCGCAGCCCCCGCTCCGTCCCTCACCCTGCGGGAAGCGGGCGCCAAAAGCCGGTGCCTCGGATTTTGCCACAGCAAAACGAAGGAAACGTTTGCGTTTGGACCGGAAAGTGAAGGAGCTTCGACGCAAGGGCAAGCTGCAGCCTGGATCGGTCCCCAGGCTCGACGGGTTTGCGGTCCCCAGCTTTAAACCTTCCAGAGAGCTTCAGGGACAATAAGGATCCGTCTCTACAGCCCCCTGCCCACCGACCGAGGGACCGGGCCCGCGGAAGCACGTGCCCGGGTTCTTCTTTCGAGACTGATGTGCAGGTAGCATGCCGTGCCCGCGCCACCAACCAAGCGTAACGAACTTTGCTTTAACTATTTAATTATTTATAGCATAACCAGCAAGGGCAGTCCAAGAACTTTTACACCTGCTATTCAAGAACCCAGTTTAATAAGCTAAGTAGAAAACACATTTAAAAAAAACCCCAAAACCAAACCTTACTTGGATCAGCAGAGCGCTATGGTCGAGATCCGAAATGCTGTGCATGACTATCCCTTTATGGCAAAACGAGATATTAAATACGATGACAATTTCCCATTGATTTCCCTGTTCTGTTTCTTTCTAGCAACACCAAACCCCGAAACTGATAGCAAGAAGTGAGGGCCAAGGGCAGCCAACTTTCCTTTTAAATGGAGGCAAAGGACTTCTTTAAGCAAAAGCAGAAGTCAAGAGCTTCTAGTATTTGTACAACAGCTATGTTACAGCCACTGACAGCTGCGTGTTTTCCCAGCCGTGCATAATTGTAACCCCACGCCAGGCACGCGTACCTCATTTAGCACACGTCTTTGCAGTGTTGATACAAGTCAGGAACATTCGATGCCTTCCCATCCCTTTTTGCCAAACCCGACACCAGCCGTTGGCGCTAACCGCCGAGAAAACCCAAGGAAGTTTTTAAAACACCCTACACACACAAAGTTGCGGCTTTTCTTCCCGAGGCCCTTTAGCGAACGTTCTCGGCAGCCTCACCGAGCGCTTTTCCACGGCAGGAAAAGCCGAGGGGGCTTTTCAGCATCGGCGCGACTGCCGCTGGGCTCCTGACGGATTAGACTGAAGAGCGGGGGTCAACCTCCTGTCGTCTAATCCTCCTCAGAGCTCAGCCACCGCTCCGACGCTAGGGAAGGTCTGTGTCTTTTTTTCTAAGCAGAGGAAACTAACCTCGTTGCTGCTCCGAAACCACCGTTTCCCAGTTACCGCTCGAGGAGGTCAGCATCTGGGTTTCTTCCATCTTTGCCTCACTTTTAAAATGCTTCAAGGGCCACGTAATCTTCACGAGAGGCTCTACCCGCTCCTGCAGGCGATGGCTTTTCATATGAGCGTTCCTACCTTTTACCTTGTCAAACACCCTGGAAGTTAGAAAACAAACAGGGTTGGGTTTGTTTAAAAATCCCTTTCTTTCATTCGATAAACACCGTTAAACCAAGCTTCATTATCTCTGCTTCTGCGCATTTCTGTGCGTTTTGATGCGCGGTACGAGACAGTTCCATTGCTTCATCCTGCCGGTACCCCCGGCTGCGTGGGACGGCGGTGGTTAAACGCGACAGACCTTCGGGTTGAAAGTTGGCTGCAAAGTCAGACAAAACTGCAGGGAGGCCCAGGGGCAGGGGTAATCCTCAAGCTGCCCGCAGCTCCGCTCCCCACCCCCCACCCCCCGCCCCCTGGGCGGCTTTGAAAGTTTAAATCCGTTTTAGCCAAAAGCAGCAGGTTTCTAGAAGAAAAATTAGTAGCTACCTTTCACACTCTCTACAGGGAAATACGCCCCCATCGTCGGCACTTCCAGCCCGGTACGAAGACTCACGCAGATTGCAGGGCATCTTTTTATGGCTCTTCTGCTTTATCTTCATGCTTTCCTTAGGCAGAAGACGGTGCCTCTTCTTCGGGCTGCAAACAGCCTGTAAATCAGAGAGCCTTTATTCATTTTTCCTTCTCTTCAGAAAGGCGGACAGCTAAAGTAAAAAAAAAAACTAGCTTGAAAACTCTCTGAATTGCCAAGAAAGGCACCGAGAACGCATGACAGCCATCCGGCACAAAAATGTACCGGCCCGAGTCTGCCCAGGCGAACTCCTCTGAACGCTAAATAGCCGAAAAAACGCTTCAGTTCGACTGTGAGGATGGGGTGCAAACGCAGGCCTTGGAAGAAAAACCGCATTATTTATACTACCCTAAGTGGAATAGCACTTTCCTCCCCAAAAGTCTATACGACAGGTTTAAAGCGTAGAACGACTAAGCGCTGAAGTCACGTGGTTACCCAGTTTCTACCACACCCCCCCCCCCCCAAAAAAATAATCTGTGAACCAAATTCCTGTTTACCGGCAGGGAACGTTTTAGCGATCCCCGCACAGAGCCGCGCCACCAGCAGTTCCCTTTTACGGAGCACTGGGATGGTACAGAACAACCCCGAAAATCATCAGCAACAAGTTTAATGCGAACAGGATTATTAACGTTAGCGAGTAGCGGGGCGTTCTCTTATTTCAGTCAGCAGGGCTGCCAGCACGTTAAGAACAAATGCTGCCTATAAGGCGTAGCAGCACGGTTTAGTAACGGTGCTAACCGCGGAATACCGCTGCGCTCTCTCAAAGTTATTCTAGAGAGTAAGTTTATCAAAGCAGCAGCCGAATAAAACCAGAACCTCTCCCTGGGCAGCATCTGCCGCGCCTTTCACAGAGCACTGGAAGACGTTTTCATGGAGGAGCGGCCTCTCGCACAAATCCCCAGCCGTTTTTCTACCTTTTCTTCAGCCTCTTCCACCTCATCCTTGTCTCTCTTGACCTTTTTTGCTATTACTTGAGCTCGACTGTAGTCAAACTTAATTTTTTTTTTCCAGATATAGTAATATTCAACACACTGGGACACATTCTTAGTCTGAATCTAGTGTGAGAAAAACAGAAGCAATCTATAATGGACATACCGTAGCAAAACATTTAAGACACAGATACACAACAAATCCATCTAGCACAGTTTTTCCTTTCCCCGTTTCCCTCCGGTTATTGCAACGCAACGTACGGGTGAGATCAGACAGAAAACCCGCCTTCCTCTTCCAAAAAGGCTGCCAAGACGCATTGGAAGGGCAGAACCGTACGTTTCACACGGGTGGTCAGCAGAGCGTTTCATTCCTGTTTTAATCTCTCTGGTGTTTTGTACCAGAGATATTAAATGTTCTGTTGTAATTATACGCTAGGGCAAACAATGTCTTGTACCGGTGCCTTTTTAGCGTTAAGAAGCAAACGCTAGGTTTCAAAGAACAGGACTCCAGCACACAACCCAAAATACAACTTGCTGGGTCAAAACCGTCAGCGCTAACAGCCCTAGATCCACCGCGGCCCAACGGCTTTACCTTCTTCTGGATCAGGTAAAAATCCTTCTTGTGTACGCAAAAAGCCTTTCTAAACAACTGCTTCTCGAGAGGCGTCCAAGTATCTGAACCTAGTAATAAACAGCAACAGGCAAATTATTAGATCACTCGCAGCCCAAGAGAAATCAGCACAATTTATTAGCCACGTATCGACGCCTCTCCTCCTTCAGAAAGCAATTGCCAAACACAGCAGCGAACGCATTAGCAATAGCAGTTATTACTGCCAGCAGATAAGCCCTGCGTGCCGTAAAGCACGGGCACAACTGACAGGAAAAAAAAAAAGAGTATTTGGCGTTGCCGCACTTCAGCGTGCTCCTCCCGTTGGGTGTCACTGCAGGGCAGGGCACGTCAAAGCAGCGGGCTGAAACACAAGGAACGAGGCATCCCCCGGGTAAAAAAAAACAGATTAAAACTGAAAGTGCTTTGCCACTACTTTCCCCGCCCCAAAGAACACACTTTTTTTTTTTTTTAAATAAACTCTTTAAATCAGGATACAGAAAGGGAATTGCAGCATCTGTTAGCATTCCAGGTGAAGGAACAAGCTCTACTTCCAGTTTACCTGCGTAACGATAATTAGCCAGAGGATGGGATTCGGATCTCTGAGGCGCCCCAAAAAGCAGCATCTCCAGAGCCTCCTGCAAGATTTAATGTAAAAAGACTTTAGATTCCCCCTGAGGAGGAGCAAAAAGGTACATTCTTGCTTTCAGCTATTTTGCTACTTCAGCGACTCGGCCCACCGTCGGAAGATTTTGCTCAGCCCATGCTCAGCAACAGCGCTTGGGGATCACCTCAGCCCACTGCAGCTTCTGGAAACATTTCCTCAATCCGCACCAAAGTGTTTTACGAAAACGGGACCTCGGGAGATCTCTGGGGACCCAAGCTGCGGGACCCTGCCGGCCACCACCTCCAGGAGAAGATTCCTCTCTGCCGGAATCATTTTCGGCTCGTCCCTGCCGCAGCAGATGTGCTCGTAGAGCCTCCTCGTGGAGGCGCAGCACACGCCAAGTCCTCCGCTATATTTGGGCGAGCTGTTAAATCCCTTCTTCAAAGAACACGGGAGCAAAGCAGAGCCACTCGGGGCTTAACCGGGACCAGGCTGGAGGTGTTTGCTCAGCGAGGGGCACCCGGGGTTGCTGCAGTTGCCGAGCGCAGGATGTTTATCTAGAGCAGACCTCGGGTTTTATCTAATGTGGCAATTCCTTCACTCCTGGCATTCGGGGGAGCAGTACTTGTATTCTCCGAATTGTCACGTAATTTACAAGAGACAAAAGAAGCTCTTACATATACACCAGGACAGGGTCTGTAATCCCGAGAGACGTTCGTGCAGGCTGCGGCAACAGGCAGCACGCAAGAACTCTGCGAGTTCAGCCAAGAGACCAGAGTCCAGCCCGTGGAATAGAAAACTGGGAACGGCTCCCACCTCACACCAGTAACAGAGGCCGTCCTAGCCCGTTATTAATTATGACCAAATAGCTGCTTCTTACCAGAACGTTGCCTCGTGCTTCATGCAGACAATGCAAGGCTAGCTCTAGGTTCGTTCCTCCCCCCGGCATGACGCTGGAGCAGGCCATGTTGAGCAGTTCTGTTACTGCAAACGCAACAAAAACCAACAGAAAGTCCGTTTCCGTCAAGAAAGGAGAAAAAGCGCGATACAAGACAGAGGGAAAACGGAACAAGTGCAGACAGACAGGCTGGAGACCAAGAAAAGGCACAGGGGAAAAAAAAGGCAGATGTCCCAGCTATCGCTGTCTCTACCCTAAGAACAGCTTTGGTGCTGATAACTCCAGAGACGAAATCTCCCCCCTCCCAAGGTCGCTGCAGACGAGGTGAGACAGATACAAACGCCCCTGACCATTTCTCATGCAAGATGCTACCGAGAGCGCAAGTTGTTATTTGTTCACTGTTCTACTGCAACGGAGCAATCTCCTTCCCCCTAACGCCACCACGCGTGAAGGTGGTCGAGAAAGGAAGGGAGAGAACCTGAACGTACAAGAAGCTGCTGCGAAAAGGTGGAATTTTTGAACCCTAGTATCTCGGGAGTGGCCTTGGCAGAAAAGTGTTAAAGAAACCTCTGTCCTGTGTTTCCGGGTTAGTTGCGATGTCTCCCCAGGGCTTCCACACCAACGACGCTGCCTGTTCATCCTTTTCCAACTGTGATCTATCCCGGAGGTTCGGCACCTCCGCCTGGAATCGGCTTCCAACGTTGATGTGCCTGAAGTAGTAAGAAAGAGGAGGTGAGGAAGGCAAGGTGTGAACAGACACACACGTGGTAGCACGCAGACACATACACACGCGCTTAGAAAGAGGGGCTACGTGACGAGCGAGGCTCAGCTGTAGTAAATACGGCACGTATACAACACGCATTTCCCAGCAAAGCATCACTAGCTCTCCTCTAACGACTTTCACAGTCACTTCTCGGCACCAACAGCGGCACCGCGCTATCCCCGGAATCCTTTTGTCCCCAGTCGACCAAGGAAGTTTGTTCTCCCTTCCTCAAAAGCTGACAGAGTTTGTGAGGTTCACTTTGAGACTCACGGTGAGCAGCAAAAAAAAAAAGAGAGAGAAGGCTGCAACCGCGGGCAAAACGGACCTCTGAACATCGTGTAGAAGGAGGGAGGCGGGCACCTTTATTTACGACGCCAGCCTAACCGGTAAAGGAAGCCAGTACTTGACTGGGATGGCCCTGGGCATTTTGTTGCAACTGGCCAGCGTGCGGCATCATCCGGCCAAAAAAAAAAACCACTATTAACCTCACCAGCGATGCAGGGCAGCGAGAGAAGCGGCCAAGCCATAGGCTCGTGGGAGGGAGAAGGTCAATGTCAACTTCGAAGGCCCGCACAGCCCACGCGCTTGAACCAACCGCACACCGACTCCCAAACCGCGGCTCCCTCATCGCCCATTTTCCAAACGTTCGCTACTGTTCTAGCTGCTACGCCATAACTCACGGCCGAATGCTGATTTTGGTGTTATCCTTCATCAGACAAAATCCAAAGTCCCTGTCCATTCTGCCTGAAAGACATAAAAATGCTCAAGATAAAAATCATTCCGCCGAGACCGTCCCTGGGCCTCCCTTCACATCCTCCTCGTCGCAAACCACTATACTCTCGGAATTCCCCTCCCTTCAGTGAAATCGCTCGCTTGGAGGCTCTCGAGGTGGACCATCCGGACGCAGTTTCACAGCTGCACCCGACCACGGGTCAGAAGTCAGCCACGCAGGGGCCGAGCAGTTCTGTGTTCTTCGTAAGCGAAAGCCGGTGTCAGAGCAAAACCCCGGTGGGCTGTTTACGTCCCCCTGTTCCACGACAGGAATCGCAGAGCAGAAGTCACGTACTTCTATTTTTTTTTTTTTAAAGCCTTCTTCGGAAGGCACGAGCAGAGCCGGGGCCTGCCCCTGTTTGTAGGCACGACCCCTTAACTCGGCCGCGGTCTCTGAAGAACTACAGATGACGAACCACCGAGCAGAAGCCGAACCCAGAGGAAAACTGCGCTCGCTGGGCTGCCGCCTCCGACACGCAGGGCCCCACCGTAGCATCTTCGGCAGTTTTACGGCAGGACTGCTTGGGTGTAACCACTACCTGTGTTCAATACTCAGATTAAGATAAATTTTTACCGCAAACTGGTACAATAAAATCAGTTTACGAGTAACTCAAACTGCTACATGTAAACGCCCGTATTTCCAGTGGCCCGCATACGATGCAGTAATTTACCCGACGGGAAGGCGGATACCATTTTAAT